TGCTGACTTTACCTTACCTTCCAGAACAATTCACTGCTTCTCCTTTGACAGCTACACCAGTTAATCGGCCAACGGGCCAGATTTCAGCTTCTTTAAGATCAAATTTTGTAGTTGTCAACCATTCACAGTCACAAGACACTGTGACCAGTAAGTTTGAATTTTGCTTTCTTAAATCTTAAATTGTATAAATGAGTGGCACTTCTTTATACCATTTCATATAGTAGGCAATTAGGTACTAGGCAGTAACTGAATTTAGTTTTTAAAAAAATCGTTAATACTACTTACTAATTAAAGTTTACAAAACTATTCAGTTTCCTTGACTTACTGCTTTGTTTTCTTGAAATACAGCTGGAGAAACTTTAAATATCATTCCTGGTCCTCAGGAAAAGAAAAATCATGCCAGTTTAATGTCACCTGGTAGGCGCAAAAGGTAAATGCCTTTTTTTTTTTTTTTTTTTTTAAGATTTATTTATGCATACAAGAACTGGGGTATAGGCTAGGGGCAGGGCGCGGCCAGTGAGAGGATCCACCAGAGACAGAGTGGAGAGCAGAACAGGCAGATTGACTGAAATACACTGCTGAGGGGAGTAGTAGGTGAGTCAGGAAAGGTCTGCTGCGCCATGTGGGTTGCTGCCTGGCTGATCAGGAATCAAACTCGCGCTGCAGTGGCTGCAGATTGCTTCATAGGTTGTGTCTTAACCCTTTGCACTGCCACGGAGGCCCCTATACTTTGTTCTTTATGCTGTTATAAATTAGGTCAAAGGGTTAGAGCTTAACTTGCTGCAAACTACATAGCTTAGACACTTCTTGTTGAAGTCTAGCAATGCTTTTTTTACTCTACTGTCCTTTGTTCCTACCGCAGAGAAAATATCTGTTCTACCATGATCTTAAGATACATGTTTCTATACAATTTGTTGCTCATATTGATTAAAGACAAACTTTTAAAATATTTCAGTGACTCTCAAGGAAAACAATCACTCTTTCTGGGCCTCATTCAACAATACGAAATTTCCAAGATCCAAATGCATTTGCAGTAGAAAAGTAAGTGGCCTTCCCAATCTCTGCAACTTGAGATATTCCTGAGTTTTTAAATGCTAAAATATGCACAAATGTGTGTGTGTGTGTGTGTGTGTGTGTGTGTAATTCAGCATTTCTCTGTGTAGTGGAATTGCCATGGGATAGAGTAGCAAACTTTAACAGTAACAGATGGTCCATTCAGAATAGCTTTTATAGATGCTCCGAGTAAGAAACAGCAACATATTTAGGAAACTTGTAAATCCATTGTTCTTGCTGAATTACGTAGTCTAATAGGGCACTTTACCGAAGTCAGATTATTGAAAACCTTGCATGAAAAGCTAAAGTGTTTAGAATAAACTATATTCTTTGTTCAGTGAAGAAGGGTTGGTGAAGGACCTGTGAAAACTCTCATAGAGTATAGTACTAAGTTACTGATGTGCACAGAGCCACCTGACTTCTGAGTTTCTAGCTAAATTTATTATGCTATCCAGTTTCCATTAACTGGCACTTTTTAACAATTGGATCTTTTTAATACTTTCTTTTCTAGCAAATGGTTATTGAAAATGCACGGGAAAAAATACTAAGCAACAAATCTCTTCAGGAAAAACTTGCAGAAAACATCAATAAATTTTTGACTAGGTAAGCAATATGTGTTTAAAATGCCTAGTTTTTGCCTAATTAAGAACTGTGCTAAAATATCTCAATTCTGTATTACAGTGACAACAATATTGCTCAAGTACCTAAGCAGACAGATAGCAGCCTTACTGAGCCAGAAACCTCAATTGATGAACTATTTGGACTTCAGGTATGGTTAAGTGTGTGTGTGTTTGTGTAAGTGAGAGAGAGAGAGAGAGAGAGAGAGAGAGAGGGAGATACATACACTCATAGTTAAAACTGATGGAATTTTGGTTTCATTTCAAAAACATTGCCAACAGATGAGATATAAAAGATTTAAATTAGGGCCTCCCCTGATGGCGCAGCAGTTGAGCGCTGGGTTGCAAGGCTGCCTGCAGCCTTTGCAGCACCAGTTTGATCCCTGGCCACTGGCGAGGGTCCCACCAAAAAAAAAAAAAAAAAAAGATTTAAATTAATACATACAAATTTATTGCATTAGTTGAATATAAGTGTTTCTGAAAAATCCTTAGTGAATTTTTAAGTGATCATTGTGAATTGTTTAAGTGGTAAAATTTATAAGACTGTCCTAACCCATCAAAGATTCACAAGTGGATATTTTTGTGTGCAATAAATATGCTATATATAGTGTATATATAGATTCTATTTTTTTTTAATTTCTTTTATGCTGCTACAAAAAATGTTAGAGACATACAGTGAATCCAAGTCATAATTAACAAAATGAACAAGACACTTTAAAAAACAAAGGTTACAAATTGAATGAGATTTTCTGCTAGGAGAAGGAATTGAGTTGCTATTCAGTGACAGTGAAGGCGAAAGAAAGTGAGCTGAAGAATTTATTAAGTTGAAAAGTCTATCGATGTACAAATAACCCTTGAAAAAAGCAGCTGAGATTGTTACTATAGGACTTTTTTAATAAAAAAACTATTGGATACATTTTCCCACAGAAAAATTCAGTAAACTAGCAAAATAGGAAAAGCTTTTTAAAGCAACCTTGAAATTATCTACCAATACTACTTTTAAAAGTTTTTCCTATCTTAATATTTAAGAAATGTATATATACTCTTCTGAATTTTTATTGTCTCCAAGTCATTTTTTTCTCCACAAATACAGCAGGTACTTAGCCATAATTAAGCACTCAGATTCCATGAGAAATTATAAGAAAGTAAAGACAAAACCATTGCTCTTGGTTGTTCATAATATTATATATTTGAGAAAAGTTAAAAATATAGATTAAAAAGAACAGCAAGACATTGTCAACCTGAGTAGTGTGCCTCAGCTTCACTAAGATGTGAACAGCCAGTTGTACAAACAGGTAAAACAGGAATTTTTAATATACTTACAAATATGCAAAATTTCTTAGATTACACAGATCATTATAATTAAAAAAATAGGTTTCCTTAAAATAGAAAATGTCTGTATTTAAAACATTAAAGAAAATTAAAATCAGACCACTAACTTGGAGAAAGTATTCCTAATATATATATCTGGCAAAGAATTTGTGTCCAAGGTACATAAGAAGCTCCCACAAATCAGTAATAAATTACCCATTTTTTAATGGAAGACTGGACTAGACAAAGGAAAATACAGGAATGGCTCGTATGCTCATAAAAAGATACCAGCATTGTCATTTGGGGAATGAAAGTTAAGAACACAATGAGATGCCATTTTTCATACTCTCTAGAATGGTTAAAATTAAAATGTCTGAGGGACCTCCCTGGTGGCTCAAGGGGTTAAGTTTCAGCACTATCAGGTTATTGGTAGCCACTGCAGCATGAGTTTAATCCCCAGCCAGGGAGCTAACCCACATGGCACAGCAGATCTCTCCTATCTTACCCTCTGTTCCCCTCAGCAGTGTATTTCAGTAGATCTTCCTATTCCGCACTCCAGTCTGTCTCTAGTGAATCCTCACACACACACCCCCCAGCACCTTTGACCTACAACCCAGCTCCTGTGTGCATAAATAAATAAAAAAATCTTTAAAATGTCTGACAACAATAAATGTTGGTAAGGATATGAAACAACTGGAACTCTGGAAAATGGCTGGCGGATGAAGTAAAATAGCACAACCAGTATAGAAAACTGGTAATTTCTTAAGTCATCTGTACACCTCGTGTACACCTGACTGTATACTACTAAATAGTAAAATGTAATAAATTGTTAATACACATAACAACTGGATGAATTGCAAAAGCATGTTGATGGGTGAAAGTAGACACAAAAGAATATATATTGTATGATTCAATTAATATTAGGTTTTAAAATAGGCAAAAATAATATATGCTGATAGAAATCAGAAATTTTTGCCTGACTAAAGGCAAGGGGAGTGATCTGCCAAGGGGAAAAACTCTAGAAAGATGTATGAATATCTTGAATGATAGAAGGCTTCTACATTTCATTTTGATTGGAGAGGTGATTACATGGTCCTTAAAATTGTCTAAGTTCGTTGACCTTGTGACTTAAGATGGGTGCATTTTATTGTATGTTATAAACACTGTATATAAATATACCTCTATTCTACCTTTGTTCCACATGAATTTCCTGTCCCTTGAGGTTCAACTGTATGCTTCACCAAAATTGAATACTGCGTTGCAAATGACTTATAAATAAATGAAATTGAGGATTTGGTTTTTATCTATTTTTTTACATTTTTCAAATGGCAGTTTATTAAGAAAAAGAGAAGGGAAAGGAGATACCTGTGTAAAAACAGATGGGCAGTCTTGGGAAGAGAGCTGCCTAAATTAAGAATTTGAAGTCTAGGGCCTCCCTGGTGGCGCAGCGGTTGAGCGCTGGGTTGCGAAGCTGCACGCAGCCTCTGTGGCGCCGGTTGGATCCCCGGCTGCTCCCCGGCCACCAGAGGAGGGTCCCACATGGTGTGCAGACCTCTCCTGCCGCCCGCTGCTCCCCTCAGCAGTGTGCTTCGGTCCTTCTGCCTGCTCTGCTCCCCGCTCTGGCTCTGGTGAATTCTCTCACCCTCCTGTGCTTCTGACTGTACCCAGTGCTTGTATAAATAAATAAATAAATAAATCTTTAAAAAAAATTATTAAAAAAAAAAAAGAATTTGAAGTCTCCAAGTATTAAAATAAATGAATAGCCCTAGCCATAGTGTATTGAAACTTCTTTGAAACCTAATGTTTTAGCTGAAAATAATTTCATCAACTTCACTTTCTCATTCTATAATAGCATGCATGTTTTCATATTTTAAAAATCTCTTAAATCTCTGTGTAAAACTGATGCAAGTAGAAAATAATATCGTTTTCATTCTACTGCTTTCCATATCCTCTAGCTTACTACTATTGCCTTTCACTCATAATGTCATATTCCAGTGTAAGAAGTTTCAGTTTAATCTGTTTGCAGTGACTTTTACAGAGAACAAGGTGGTGATGGGGTTTTGTAATCCAATAGTTTGTAAACATGAGAGCTCTCTTTTCCTCAGCACTAGTGGGTGGGGCTCCCTGTATCCCATGGTTGCATACCAGCTTGAATAAGTTATTATAAAGCATGTTCAGTATCATTCTGTTAAAATCATATTGACCTCAAAAAAAGTTCAGATGTCAATAATAAGGACATAAAATTAAGTCAAAATTATTTTAAGTAGATTGATGCTTGAAAATTGGTATTTCTTATTATTGGTAAGAATATGTACTTTGTTAGCAGAACACAAGTACCATCCTTACACAACCTCTCTAAAAGGCTGCTTGAATGACAGGTCTCAAAACTTTATTTTTTTCCCCAAGTTTCAGATACTAATCAGTATAAGCTGATTACAACACAGTACACCAACATGATCTCACATATTTAGAGAGGATGTGTCTCCTTATTAAGTGGAAAATTGTGGCTTCTGGAAGACCTTTATATTAAGCAGCAAAGTGAAATACTTCATTTAGAAATCTGGCCCTTTTTTCTTCAATTTGCTGTCAGCTGCATTTTCTGAATAGAACTTGTATTAGTCATTGGGGACCCAGTTTGTTCTAGGCTTCTGAGTTATTCTTTTTGTCCCAGAACAGTCTTCCATCTTAGTGTAGTGTTTGCAGGTAGCTTTTGTCATGCTACTTTTTTTTTTTTAAATGAGGCATGTTTTATTTATTTATTTGTTTGTTTGTTTGTTTTGTTTATACATGCACTGGGTACAGTCAGAAGCGCGGGAGGGTGAGAGAATTCACCAGAGCCAGAGTGGGGAGCAGAGCAGGCAGAAGGACCGAAGCACACTGCTGAGGGGAGCAGCGGGCGGCAGGAGAGGTCTGCGCGCCAGGTGGGACCCTCCTCTGGTGGCCAGGGAGCATCCGGGGATCGAACCAGCGCTGCAGAGGCCGTGGGCAGCTTCGCAACCCAGAGCTCAACCGCTGCACCACCGGGGAGGCCCTGTCATGCTACTTTTAAACAGCAGATCAGGCAGACCTCTCCTCTCTCACCCGCTGTTCCCCTCAGCAGTATATTTCAGTCAGTCTGCCTGTTCTGTTCCCTGCTCTGTCTCTGGTGAATTCTCTCACCCTCCCACACATCTGCTGTACGCCGGTTCTTGTATGCTTGAATAAATAAAAATCTTTTAAAAAAAATAAACAGCAGATCAGCAAGGATTTATACATTTGAAGAATGCATTGAATATTAAGAGACCAAAGAAGATACATAGAAGGGGTGAGGCGCATTTTTTTCTATATTACCATTTGTTTATTTTTAAATTTAAGATTTTTTTATTTTTATTTCTAATTTATATATATTTTTTTCACATCATTCTATTTTGTACTGCGAATGCTTTTTCCTCTCGGGTGTAGTCCCTGTAAAATTCCCATCACCGATTTACCCATGCACTATCATCATGGTTCCTTGTGCTCTTCCCTCCCCCATTTTGATCCCTCTGCCTCCCCCCGCAGAGTGTCTCTGCTTTATAGTCATCTGTTAATTTTGTTTTTTAATTTATTATAATTAATTTTTATTTCCTGATCACTTATTTGGTTCCCCTACATTCCAGGGAGGTGAATTTATACTGGAGGACCTAAACAACAATATACAATAACTAATGTGACAAAAGCAGACTAAAGAACATTATGAAATAAAACTCAGAAAAACATCAGATTTGGGGCCTCCCTGGTGGCAGAGCGGTTGAGTGCTGGGTTGCGAAGCTGCGCGCAGCCTCTGCAGTGCCGGTTCAATCCCCGGCCGCCGGGCGAGGGTCCCACATGGTGCGCAGACCTCTCCTGCCACCCGCTGCTCCCCTCAGCAGTGTACTTCGTCAGTCTGCCTGTTGTGCTCTCCGCTCTGGCTCTAATGAATTCTCTCACCTGCCTGTGCTTCTGACTGTACCCAGTGCTTGTATAAATAAATAATTAATTGATTTTAAAAAAGATCAGATTTGTGGTTATCAAAGATAGCGTTATTGAATAAAGGTGGTCAGAAGATTTAAATGTCTTAAGTACTGCAGATGTAATGTACAACATGCTGACTAATTCACTCTGCTCTGTGGTCTATTTGAAAATTCCAAAAGAGTAGCTCCTAAGAGTTATGGGAAAGAAAGAAAAGCTTTTTATTTTGTATTTATATGAGTTGATGGTTGTTAACTAAACTTACTATGGGTATCATATCATTATATACTTAATTCAAGTCTTTATGCTGTACGCCTTTAACTTACACAATGCTGCATTTCAAATTAAAAAAAGGTGATTTTATAATTACGTATGTAGTTCCTATATTCATTTTATTTTAAGTTTGGAAATATGTTCACATTCACACATAAAATTTTTGGAAGTTTAAACAAAGTGGTACCAGACATGCAGACCCATTAGCTCTAAGGGGTAAAATTAGGGAATTCACTTTTTATTTTCTGGTCTTATTTTAAAAGAACATGGTGTTATATATAACAAGTTTTCTTAGAAAGACTTCTACATGAAAAATCAAATATTAGCTATCTAATTATTTTGCTGGGATTAAAGCATAGTAATTCAGTTAGGACCACTTCGTCCTTTGCAGAGTGAAATTCACATGTCTGAAGAAGTTATACAGGATATATTGGAACAAACAGAATCAGATCCAGCATTTCAGGCACTGTTTGATCTCTTTGACTATGGTAAGTAAGCCATTTCTTTCAAAGCACTTAGAAGAAAGTTTTTTCCAGTTTCTTCGGCAGCTTAGAGTAAAGCAACATTCCTTGGTGCATCTGAAAAAAGCTATTTACAGTAAAGCAAATGTTGCATATATATTGAAGAATGTTTTAGTGTTATTACTCAAAGGTTTAGCTGTAAAAATAGAGAAATGTTTTGTATTCATATACTTTTTTTGCCACTCAACATAAATGTTTTGTACTCTGAAATATATACAGTTTACTAAATTCAGTCGGGTAATACAACGGGAATGCAAAAACCTGGCTGTTGCCCACAGAATTACTGCCTCATGCAGTATTTCTCAAAATGTGATCTCCAGCAGTATTAGCATTATCTGAAAATACTTTAAAATTCTTTAACCTCTCATGTGACTAATATAGGCTAGAGTTTAAGAACTACTGACCTGGTGGAAAAATCTTCATACTTTTCGAGGTGCAATTTTAAAACATTCATAGGACAATAATGGAAATCACAGTTTAATGTTACATGACCACTGTCAAGCTGTGTAAGTGAATGGTTGTTTTTATTTTGGTTATTTAAGCAGTTGTTTCCTGTTCCCTTTTTAACAGGTAAAACAAAGAATAATAAAAATATATCACAAGGCATTTCTGACCAGCATATGGAAACTGATGCCAATGTTGTCTTAGTAGATGAAACAAATCTCTCAGTTAAAGATTCTTTTAAAACAGAAGAATCTGGTAAGAATTTGATTTTGTTAATATCATCAACCCAAATATTAGTCATAATACAATTTCAAAGACAAGAAATACTGTTGTTCAATTTGGAAGTTGTTCAGACTTACACATAGATCATTACTGTATTTGTAAATCTGATATAAAGGTGAATTTTTAGTACCCATTCTTCCATGATACAGTAGATTCCTGACTTGCACAGGGTGATATTAAGAGTGTCCAAGTCAACAAAAATCTGTCACATCTAATATAATTTTATTCATTTATTTTGAAGATTTATTTATGCATGCATGCAAGAACTGGGGTGTAGACCAGAGGTGTGGGTGGTGAGAGGATTCTCCAGAGACAGAGTAGGGAGCAGAACAGGGAGATCTACTGAAATACACTGCTGAGGGGAGAGCAGCAGGTGAGACAGGCGAGGTCTGCTGCATGCACCATGTGGGTTAGCTCCCTGACCAGGGATCCAGCTCATGCTGTGGTGCCTGGGGATGGCTTGATAGCACTGAGACTTCAACAAACCCTGTGCCACCAGGGAGGCCCTAATACAGTTTTACTGGATTACAAGTTTCAATCCCTGATATGTAAAGTAGTAATATTCATTGAGCCTGTTAAGCAGGTTTAACTGACCATTCAGCATCTGTATCTCATTTATTTGGAGGAAACTATATGCTGTGATGATAGTCTTGTCTTAATGGACTTAATGAGATTTTAAGTCCTGTGTACCTACCGTGCCTACTAAGTCAATTCTTTCTTTGTACTTCCCACGCTGTGTCAGTGTGACACATAATAACTATTTATTGAATGAGGGAAGACAATAAGCTCATCTTAGATCTTTTTTTTTTTTAAAGATTTATTTATGCATACAAGAACTGGGATACAGGCCAGAGGTGTGGGGGGTGAGAGGATTCACCAGAGACAGAGTGGAGATTAGAACAGGCAGATTGACTGAAATGCATTGCTGAGGGGAGCAGTGGATGAGATAGGAGAGGTCTGTTGCTCCATGTCGGTTAGCTCCCTGGCCAGGGATGAAACTTGTGCTACAGTGGCAGCTGATAGCTTCATAGTGCTGACACTTAACCCCTTGCACCACCAGGGAGTCCCCCCTCATCTTATATCTTTTAAATTGGCCAAGGTATTTTATTGTATTTTCATTGTGGAATATTACATGCACAAAAGTACACAATAAGAATGTATCAGCTCATTGATTTACAATCATGGAAATACCCATGTAACCATTTCCCAAGCAAAAAAAAAAAAACCCTGAAACACCACCAGCAAGACAAATTCCTGTTCATATGCTTTCCCAGTCTATTTCCTTCATCCTTGGCCCTCTTACTGCTAAACCATAGGCCTCTCTAGTACCACCTCTGTCCATTCTGTCTACAACACACTGTGCCAAAATATTCTTTTCTGCTCATCTGTTTATAAATGCCATTACCTCCTAGCCAAAAAAAAAAATGGTTTCCAAATCTCACAGAATGTCTTCCCAAAACTACTTTTGGAGTATCTCATACTACATTTCTACTTTGAGGATCTGCCTGCACCCAAGCCTAATCCTCCATTTTTTCTGAGGCTGAATAATAATGTGATGTGTTTTCTCTCATTATATATTATATAAGAAAGTGTGTGTTTCAGTCAAGCTCCGCTGCAGAAAATGAAACTTGAAATCCTATCTCCTCAGTTCTCCTTCAAGTCTCAATCCTTTTCCAGTTCCACTTAATTGAAACTGACTACCTCTAAACTGATGTAGGCTGGAAGTAATCTCCACTAATCTCCACCCTGTGATCGGGATTCAAATGTCCTATATGCCTAATATTATTTTCCCAGTGTCACATTAACAATTATTTGATAGTGGTTATTTTCTGGATTTTTATCCTTATGTTTTTCATATTGTTAATTTTACATGTTTTCTATCCTAAATTGCCTGTATACCCAGTTTATTAGTGCTATTGTCTTCTGAAATGACATTTTTTATTCCAACTACCACCTTTATTTTGTGAGATTTCATGTAATACTTCCTCTACAACACTTTCTCACATCCCCTTATTTTCCTATACTATTATAAATTTTACTATGTATTATTCTGACTTCCTGTTCTGTATCTGCTTCACTGACCTTTCCAAGGGCAAGAATTGAGTCATTACATTGGGGTACCCAATGTACCCCAGCACCATTCACATGATTAACTTCAGTAAATGTGTGTTAAGAGTTAAACAGTACACAGTAAGATCAAATGTTAATCATGCAAAATGTTTTTGGCCCCATTTCACCTTTAAGAATTTATCAGAAAGGGCCTCCCCGGTGGCGCAGCGGTTGAGTGCTGGGTTGCAAAGCTGCCCGCAGCCTCTGCAGCGCCAGTTCGATCCCCGGCTGCTCCCTGGCCACCGGTGGAGGGTCCCACATGGCGCACAGACCTCTCCTGCCGCCCGCTGCTCCCGTCAGCAGTGTGCTTCGGTCCTTCTGCCTGCTCTGCTCCCCGCTCTGGTGAATTCTCTCATTCTCCCGCGCTTCTGACTGTGCCCTGTGCTTGTATAAATAAATTAAATAAATAAATCGAAAAAATATATATATATCAGAAAAATAATAGAAATGGTAGAAGTTGAAAAGTCAACTCTTTGAAAAGCTGAAGTTTGGGGCCTCTCTGGTAGCACAAGAGGTCAAGTCGCAGCACTATGAAGCTATCGGCAGCCACTGCAGCACAAGTTCAATCCCCAGTTAGGGAGGTAGCTTACTTGGTGCTGCAGACGTCTCCTGTCTCGCCTGCTGCTCCCCTCAGCAGTGTATTTCAGTCAATACACCTGTTCTATTCCCCACTCAGTCTCTCACCCCCCGCACCTCTGGCCTGTACCCCAGTTCTTTTTTTTTTAAGAGTTTAGCAGTTTTTTGTTTTTTTAAAAGATTTATTTATTTATTTATTTATACAAGCACTGGCTACAGTCAGAAGCGCGGGAGGGTGAGAGAATTCACCAGAGCCAGAGCGGGAACAGAACAGACAGACGGACGAAATACACTGCTGAGCAGAGCAGTGGGCGGCAGGAGAGGTCTGTACACCATGTGGGTCCCGCGCTGGTGGCCGGGGATCGAACCGGCCCTGCAGAGGCTGTGGGCAGCTTCGCAGCCCAGCACTCAACTGCTGTGCCACCAGGGGAGGCCCAGTACCCCAGTTCTTACATGCATAGATAAATAGACCTTTAAACAAAAAAAAAATGCAGCTTTTATTTGGTGTCCTTTTTATCTTTGATAAATATGGGTGTTCTTTAACCTGTGTGCTTTTTCAGAATTTCATTGTGTCATCTATTTTCCCAGAATTTTGAAAAACAGGTTGGTAAAAACAGTTTTGTGCTTGTTAAAGAGATACCAGTAAAACTTGACTGTAGTTGTTTTGGTACTCAGAAAACAAGAGCTACAGTCTATGAGACTTCCACTTACTGATATGTCAGATTATTTTCTTGGCAAAATGTGTTTTGAGGTAAAGAATACTATCTCAGAATCTGTACATACTTACCATATCTTTCTGTCAACTTGATATTTTACAGATGCACGATCTGTTGAGCCCCCATTTTGTACATCCTACCAAAGTGAAGACTCAGCAAATGCTTTGAAGGATGGCACCAACCAGAATGATCTTAGACAGGAAGTCCGGGAACATTTTCCCCAAATAAGCCCTAGCATACAGAAAAAGGCCTTTAAAACAGTTGTACCTTCTCAACAAAAGTGTACCCTTGATATTACCTTTGAATCTGTGCCTAACTTGAATGACTTTAACCAAAGAGTAAATTCTAATGCTGAATGTAATCAGCATTGTGCTGAATTATACAGCAGTCAGGTGACCGCTGAAACTGAAATGGCTCTGGAAGTTGAAAACAATTCTTTGTGTCCAAGTGTGCCAAATGAGTCTCATTTACAGCCTCATCAATGTGATATACCAATAACTTCATTTGTTTCCCTTGGTGGTGAAACTAACAATGAAAACTTAATCCTCTCTGGGAAAACTTCTCAATTTTTATCCCATAATACTCCATTAACTGGGAAGCCAACTAGAAAAAGTCAATTTTGTGAAAGTTCTAAGGATACAGGAATACTTAAAACTAGTCTGCTTGGTTCCAAGTCACCAGATTCTAGTGAAATTCACCAGAGTAAAATTGAAATTAATAATGTATTACCAGTTGCATCACAACAGCTTTCAGATTGCCAAGGTAATTCTTCACTTCAGAGTAAAATATTACCAGTGTCTGTTGAAAGTTCATGTTTAAATATATCTGAACAAGTAGAAATTTGTGTTGGCGATTCATTATCTTCAATTAAACACCCATCTAATGATTCATCACCTATTGAATTAAATCATACAGACCAAGAAATTCTGCCCTCCAAGTCTGAGAAAGTTGTTTTGGAGTCACAAGAGCCTTCATCTTCTGTAAAAGAAGGTGGAGAAAGTATTTTTCTCTCTTTAGGTGAAAATGAAAACTGTAGGGAAGTTGCATTGATCCCTCCAGAAGGTAATCCTATAGAAGATAGACACACTCTTCCTTCTGAACCTGTGTGTTCTTCAATGGGAGATTCTCGCCCTGAGTCCCAAAATACTGGTAAATCTGCTGGTGACAACCCAAATGAGATAGATGCATCAAATATTGTGTCTCTGAAAATTATCATCAGTGATGATCCATTTGTTTCCTCGGATGCTGAACTTAATAGTGCTGTTTCTAGTATCAGCGAAGAAAACTTGCCAACTATAATTTTGTCTTCTGCTAAATCACCTGCAAAAAATGCAGAATTAGTTAAGTGCCTGTCTTCAGAAGAAACTGCAGGTGCCACCACATCTGCTGAAGGAATAGAGGATTCAGCTTCAGTGGAACAGAGCCTGCTAGGGCTCAAACCTGAAGACTCTGCAGTGAACAGCACTCAGAATGAGGACAGCATAGCTTTTTCAGCGAATGTTTCACCGTGTGTTTCAAAGGATGGAGGATACATACAGTTGATGCCAGCCACAAGCACAACTTTTGGCAATTCAAATAACATTCTAATAGCTACCTGTGTGACTGATCCAACAGCCTTGGGAACAACTGTAAGTCAGTCTAATGTTGTGGTGTTGCCTGGAAACTCTGCACCTATCACTGCTCAACCTCCACCACCTCAGTTACAGACACCACCAGGGCAAACAGTGTATTTGCTGTCAACCAAGCTGTGTCACCCAGCTTTTCACAAGGTAACTTGAAGAACATAATGAACAGTTGGATACATAGGCTTACACCTGTGTATGTCCGGGTACAGATGTACACATGCACACACACATACTGACCCATGCCAAGGAGTCCCACTGTGGTGAGTGTTGGAGGCTTAGAAGAAAAGGAAAAGGACATACTGAAGTTTATTTTTCTGGCTTGTGATCTGATGTCTCGTGTAGGCAGTTATTGTCTCAGACAATAAATCACTAGCTAGAGAGTAGGAGAAAGGATTCTAAAATTTGTGATTATGATACTTCTTCAGCTTATTAATTCAGGGAGACCTTGACCTTTTTTAAAAATACTCTGGTAAGCTGTGGAATTCAGTGATTTAATTTTTCACTTTTCTCCTTCCACAATTACTTCCTAGTCCATGTGGTAAGCTACCACATACACACACAGACTGATTCCTCACGTGTATCTATACTAAAACCCAGTGTTGGGGGAAGTTTTTTTTTAATCCAAAAAGGACAAGTTTATTAGGGGAAAAAAAGGAAAGGAGAAAATGATGCAGGTGAACAGAAGGCACCTCTATTGTGGGAGATTTTTTTAAACAGCTTGCATGGTCTTAGTTTTCAAAGAATCTAATAACTATGTGCACTTTTTTTAAGATTTATTTATGCGTAGAAGAACTGGGGTTTAGCTGCTGCGGGGTGAGAGGATTCACCAGAAATGGAGTGGGGAGCAGAACAGGCTGATCTACTGAAATACACTGCTGAGGGGAACAGCAGGCAAGACAGGAGAGGTCCACTGCACCATATATGGATTAGCTCCCTGACCAGGGATCAAACTCCGGCCATAGCTGTGATAGCACTGAGTCTTAACCCCTGTGCCACCAGGGAACCCTTACATGGAGAGATTAAAACAAAATTTGAATTTCTCTGTCCATAAAACCCTTTGAAATTCCTTACTGTCTTTAATATCCAGAATTGACCCCGTCCTTAGAACTCTTGTTTATAGAGGCACTTGTTGCATTTATTACATGTCATTTTATATTTAGTTAGTGGTTGGCATGACCATCCTGCTCACCTTGATAAGATACTCCTTTAGGAGAGAACTTGTGGCATGTTTATCTACAGTTCCTTCTATATTGGTTCCCAGGCTCCTTTTCCTTTTTTACATTATAGGCAGACAATAATTAAATATCAGAAATTGAGCATTGAGCCTGATGGATCAGTTCGAAGTGCTATTTAAAATAAAAGAAACTGGTCAGAATTTGGTAGAGAATGTGGGATTTGAGCTACAGCTTAGAGAAAGAGGAAGGACTTTGGAATATATGATATCTCTGAAGGTATTTGAGAGGCTGAAGAAGGTGTGCACGGGAGTGAGGAAATCAACCCCACAAAAGTAGTGAGTGAATATTAGGAATAGATTGATTTATAGTGCAAGCAAGGCTCAGTTATAAATCTGTACTACCATATAATAGAACTGTACTATTCCTAATAGAAGAGTGTCCAACCTTTGCCATAGACTATATTGTTGACATCTAAGGACTATGTAAGTCTAGTTTTAGTTCATTGTGCATATATCTGGACCTTTTTGACAGTACCATTGAGAGAATAGTTGGAGTTATGAGCAGGTCTTGGGTTGTTAACATTTAGTTGGGATCCTGTTTTTGTAATATGTAAGATTCAGACCTCACCAGTTCTCTAATGAGTTTCATGATGCTTTGTAGAGGAGTCAGAATATAACTGTAATGATATGATTTCTTGGCTATAGAGTGTTACGCTTATGATAATTATCTTGATTAAACGCCATAAGGCTACTTGAATGTTCACATTGACTATGATTAGTCTTGATGTTCGTAAATTAATTTTTTAAAGAAGAACAGATTATAAAGAAAGAATGTTACAGAATTTCACAATAATTACTTTGGTGTCTAGTGTTTAGGAGAGAAAATCTTACTGAGAAATTTTTTTTAGGATCTGCCATCATAATCGCTTCTCCAGTCCAGCCTGTACTCCAGGGAATGGTGGGAATGATCCCTGTGTCTGTGGTTGGACAGAATGGAAATACCTTTTCTGCTCCTCCTCGACAGGTAAAATTTATGCATTCAAAACAGCATTGATGCTTTTCAAACGTAGTGTAGCTAATGACATCTTCTCTTCTAGGTCCTTCATATGCCTTTGGCAGCACCTGTATGCAGTAGAAGTATCTCTCAATTCCCCATCCCTCCAAAATCTCAGAAGACTCAGGGAGTAAGAAGCAAGCCTTGTACAGGTACATTTTAAGTTCATCAGTGTCACTTTATGTTGTGTGTTCATTTGTTTTTGGCAGCACCACAGCCTTTCTTTTTTAATAACTAATCTGTTCATTGCAGTAATTAAAAAGATAAATGGAACAAAATAGTTTAGAAAAAGATGGTATCTGCAGGGCCTTGTGTGTGGGGAAGTAACATCAAAAGTAAGAGGGGGCAGGGTGGATTGTTTGATAAGATTTTTTAGTTGTTTTATATAATCTGAAAAATACTGGATGCCTCCTTTTTGTTACTATTTCTTATTATTTTGTTACTATTATTAAACCTATACAGTTCATAATAGTGTTTAAGACACTTTCATATATCCATTAAATGTCTTTCAGTGAGATCTATTGTCACCTTTCACCTGAACTTTCAGTTGGTTTCTGGATTCACCTCTTCCCCATACAGGCTCAATTCTGCAATGCCTGTTTTTCCATGTTATTCTGCCATACCCAAATGCTACCTTCAGCACTGAATCTGTCCAACCACCTCTGCCTTTGACCTAGGCTTCTTAACATTGTTTGGAAGTGATGACATTCAATACCATTTAAAAATTTCTTACCCTTATTGCCATTTTACAATCATTTTTAAAATGTCTTCCTGTTCTTTTTCTCTCCCATTTTCCCTTCACACTGCTCTGGAATTCACAGCTACTCTCAAAAACTACTTTCTTTTTCCCTTCTTTCTTAGAGGAATGATTTTGTTATTCTTAAAGTTAATATCATCTACCTATGATCTAGATTCTGTCTTCTAGATCTTTAGCTTTTCTTCTTTTACTCCTAACTGTACATACAGATTCTTGGGTTTGACCACCTACCAACCCTTATTTCCCATTCCTCCTTTATCCACATCATTGTCTTTTCTATCTCCATTAATATCACCATATACATTGGGTTTTTTCTAATCTTTTTCTTAACACACAAGGCCCTCATTATCTCGTCTTTGCTTTCCTTTCTAACTTCGTATCTTCGTACCCCCTCACATAATCTCTGAAGTCCATGGAAATTGAAATATGGCTATTAAAACTCCAGTGCACAGTCTCCGAATCAAGTAGATTTGCAAATTCACAGTTAACTGGGCAAAATTTTCAAGTAGGACTAAAGTAACTATGTATGAATCTAAGTAATACCTTTAAGTGCTGCATTGAGCATTGTAATGTATAAATCCAAAGACTGAAGTTGGGCCTCCCCGGTGGCACAGCAGTTGAGCGCTGGGTTGCAAAGCTGCCCGCGGCCTCTGCGGCACCGGTTCAATCCCCGGCTGCTCCCCGGCCACCAGAGGAGGGTCCCACATGGCGCGCAGACCTCTCCTGCCACCCACTGCTCCCCTCAGCAGTGTACTTTGGTCCTTCTGCCTGCTCTGCTCCCCGCTCTGGCTCTGGTGAATTCTTTCACCCTCCCGTGCTTCTGACTGTACCCAGTGCATGTATAAACAGAAGAAACAAATAAATAAATAAATAACATGCCTCTATTTAAAAAAAAAAAAAAGACAGAACTTGAATCATGTCATTGCTCCATATTTTTATTTTGAAATCTCTATAAAAATGAATGAGTGACTATCTTGTATAATTACAAGGCTGCTTTTTAAAGACTAGTTTGTGAACATTTCATTTGTATATTAGCTATCATTTTTAAAGTTTTCTCTTATTAAAAAAAATAAATAAATGAGGGCCTCCATGGTGGTGCAGGGGTTAAAGACAGCACTGTGAGGCTGCTGCCAGCCACTGCAACATGAGTTGGATCCCCGGCCAGGGAGCCAACACACATGGCACAGCAGACCTCTCCTGTCTCACCCGCTACTCCCCTCAGCAGTGTATTTCAGTACATCTGAGTGTTCTGCTCCCCACTCTGTCTCTGGTGAAGCCTCTCCCCCCCACACACACCTCGGCCTACACCCCAGTTCTTATATGCATAAATAAATAAATAAATAAATCTTTAAAAAAATGAAAAAAAAATTTAGGTGTTTTCTTGTAATACCGTGGCCTATCATATGCATTTTCAAGCAAGTATATTCTCTTAGGAATGTTTTGTTTTCCTTTTCTAATTAATCCATTTATAATTTCAGGAAAACAGGTAAATAATTTGGTGGATTCGTCGAGTCATTTAGTTGGATGCTCTGCCCAAAGGTGAGAAGGAAAGTTCTTAACAGATTCTTTGAATGGCCAGAGAAAAAACGGGATTTTTTTATGTTGCTAAATTTTTTTCTTTTTTTCTTTTCTTTTTTTTTTTTCTAATTGGTAGAGTTGAAGTTTCTGACAAGAAGTTGACCACAGATCTTGGGAAAAAATTGGAAGAAACCACCGTTCCCTTGTCAGCAGAGAATGTAGTTCCAACTAGCAAGCCATTTGAAAGCCACAGGCGTGTACTTTGTTTTGATAGCACTGCTTCTCCTGTGGCAAATACACAGGGGCCAAACCATAGGGTGGGGTCCCACAACAAAGAGAAGAATGACGTTTTACTTCCTAATCTTGACTTACCCCTTTCGTCCTCCACCTTAAAACCCCCTTCTCATAATGCTCTCAAAAGAGAGAAACCTCCTGTGCCTAAGATTTTATCTAAATCAGAAACTGCCATTAGTAGACATACCACCATAAAAGAAACTCAGTCAGAAAAGAAAGTTTCACCAACAGAAGCTGTACTTGAATCTTTCCATAAAGCAACAGCTAACAAGGAGAATGAATTATGCAGTGATATGGAAGAAAAAATCCAGAAACCTCAAAACTGTCTAATGGACAGCAAAATGGGGGTTTAAGAAATGAGAAAACTATAACTTCACTGCAAGAACTAACCAAAAAACAAGGCACAGCCTCAAATGGTAAAAATGTCACTTCAGTGGGTCCAACTGTGAAGGATCTGAAACAAGAACAGACCAAATCTGCCAATTCTTTGATGAGCCCCCTAACCAAACATCCTTCAGAAATGTTACAAGATGTTCAGTGGCATAGTCCAGTCAGTAGGCTCCCTGATAGCGCTGACTTACCTGTTCCCCGGACACCTGGCTCAGGGGCAGGGGAAAAGCATAAGGAAGAACCTGCTGATGGTATCAAGGTCCCCTCCAGCAGGCGTTTCGGTGAGGACAGTAGCGTGCCCAAAGTGATGGTCCCCCCTGTCACTCCAGACTTGCCTGCCTGCAGCCCCGCCAGTGAGACTGGGAGTGAGAACAGTGTAAACATGGCTGCCCACACACTGATGATTCTCTCTAGAGCAGCCATCTCAAGAACTGCTTCTACTCCTCTGAAAGACAACACGCAGCAGTTCAGGGCCTCTTCAAGGAGCACAACAAAAAAGCGGAAAATTGAGGAATTAGATGAGCGGGAGCGCAGCCGTACTTCTGGTAAAAATCTTGCAAATTCATCAATACCAATGAAGAAGAAGAAAATTAAGGCAAGTTTGAACATCTTAATTTCAAAACCATACCTCTGCCTTTCTTTCACTTGCTCAGATTAGCGACCTCAGCATTTTTTCCCCACAGCTATCTACCCAAACTTAATCAAGACAGCATTGAGTTTTGACTGAGAAAATACAGCCTATATAGCAGTGTTTCTCAGCCAGTGTGGTACTCGGTGTGTCTTGGTGGAACCGCATTTTCAGAACGATTACTAAGACATTTATTTTTAAACATATTCCTTTGGGAAGGAGGTTTTTGTTACTGTCATGATAGGACCTTAGTACTTTGGGGAGAATGACATAAGCATGGAAAGCCATTGTGTATGGAATAACCAAGTAGAAGCCTTCTTTGCAACTCCTCCTACCTCTAGGGATTTTTTCACATGACCTGCCATCTCTTCCATAAGCCTTTACAGAAGTTGGCATGTTAAAGCAATATAAAATTTAAGTTTACTTGTTTCCTCTTTAACACTGCTTATCTATAGAAAGGCAATGCAGGCATAGTATTGCTACATGAAACATGAAACTTTTCTCCTAAAGCCCTTTAGCCAATTAGTAAGTGAATTGAATAGGAAGAAAGGTGTTTACAGTGTCATTGAGGAAATAGATTATGAGGGGAAAAATATTGACTTTATAGCCAAGTAAGCCAGGGTTTGATTCCTGATCACTTGCTTATTGGTTCCGTGACCACAAGTAAACCTGTAGCTTAGTCTCAGCTGCTTTGTTTGACCTCAAGTTACCCATTTTACCTTATTACATGTACTGTATTATCAAGTGTTTAGAACTTGAGAAAGTACCTGTCACTCTGAAAATCTTACTAATTTTTAAGGTTTGTGGTTTGGCAATAATGGCTACCTTATAGAAATGGCTACCTTGTCTCATTCAGTTTTCACACACTCTGGATTTATGTAATATATTTTGCCCTAAACTAATGTTGAAATATCAAAGCACATTTTAGTAACCTTAGATTTATAAAATTTGTACTTCTCTATGTAACTGAAATTCTAATGAAATAAAAATGTTGGCAAAGATATCAGTATATGTAAGAACCTGATGAAAGGTTCTGAGTGACTGAATAGGAAAGTTTTGGCCTTGAATTGAATTCACAATGTTAACTTAGGCTTATTTTTTCTTTTTTTCTTTTTTTCTTTTTTTTTTTTTTGACAGAAAAAGAAGCTACCCAGTTCATTTCCAGCTGGAATGGATGTGGACAAATTTTTGTTATCATTACATTATGATGAGTAAATATGAACGTATTAGAATAATAGGTGTAAAACTCTTATCCCTTAAGCTGTGAGTGTAGGGAATGAGATATTGACAGACTCTGAAAGCATGACCTGCACTTTCCTTGTACTGAAATTTCACTTTATATCTAAATCATGCTGTTTCTGAAGCAGCTTCCTACTTGTAAATAGATTTAACTGGTATATTTTTTATTTTGAAAAAAATTTGCAGAAATGTAAGTAAAGCCAATCTGCAAAACTGTATAGCTTTGACAATTGCATATGTAAATGTGTATAAATCTTATTGAAATAGAGCTTAGATCAACCTAATATTCTTACACTGTGTTTTTTGACTTATGATCCCTCATTCTGAGGCTTATTCATCTGAAATAGTTTCTCACTTTTGGGGGGAAAATGCTTTTCCTTGTAGATTGCTTTCAGTAACTGTCCAACTAGACACTGAAAGACATAGCCACTAAGTAATACAAAATGATAACTACTTCACCTGGTAGTGATCAGAAAATAAGTGTTTGGAGTTTTTCACCCCTTCTTATAATTGCAGTAAAGAATATATTTCTGGACTTTTACACCTTAATTGTTTCTTCTGGTCATTCTGGACTTCTCTTTTAAAATGGGAATTTTGTAAACCATTTGCGCGTCCTGATCCTTTGTTTATAACTTTTAAGGTCTTTTACAGAACTAAGTCTCGACTATTGAGCCATATAAAATTTGGTTATGTAGTTGGAATTTCTTGGTATGTATATTATTTTCCCCTGAATACTGGGGATCTAAAGAATTGCACTAATTCATAAACCTCTTTACATAGTAGTGACCAATGCACATTTAATTTAAATCTTGTATTCTATATTAAAGTGTGTGTGAAGGATTATCTTCTGGTATTATTTTAGAAAGCCATGTCCATCATAAGATGTAAAAAGAGGAATCATAGTTTTATATTTTAATTTAGTTTCTTCTAAGTGGGCTGTTAAATGACTGTATCTGTATAGCACATTGTCTTTGAGCCCCTCAAAGTGTCATAAAGAATTATTCTCAAAAAAGTCCTTAAGGAGAAAGAGGTGCCTTTTCTGTATTAAACATAAACATCAGTCAAGTTGAAGAATTGGCTTAAACTTTTAAATGAGAACAGAAATTATGCAGGTTCCCCCTGCTATCCAAAAGTAGGACATTCCTATTTGGTATGATCTGGTAGGTTATTTTAGGAGTCTGAGAACACTGAAAAGGTTTTCCATATAAATGGTAAAAGTATTCCTAGACCCAAAAAATAACCTGCCGAAACATACCAAATCAGAACATTGTGCTTTCAGATTGCGGGGGAAACCTGTAATTTGTATGTGACCAATTGTGCCTAGATATTAAAGTATGTTCTTTTAAGTGTTTTCTGTTTGGTTTCATATCAATATATTAAAGTTTTTTTCTACAGTTGTGTATATTTTCCTCAACCTTTTTTTGTCCTAGGCTTTAAAAAAAAAAAAAATCTTACTCATCTTACTCTAACACAGCATTTTTCAATGTAGAAATCACATCTAAGGCTGACCCTTACTGCAGAAATTTGTGTTGTAAAAATTTTTTATGATGTGGCAGTGGTCTGTTTCTAAAGAACTAAATATACAATTGTTTATTTAACTCAACTTGATACTGTACCACAGTTAGGTTTAAATAAATATTTTCCTTCAAAAGTTATTTTATATGTTATTTTATATTTAGATATTTTGATAAATTTCTTTGCAAGGCAAGTCTTTTTTCAGAATCACATGTTGAAAATTACATTTTCTTCAATATATGTTTATATGTCCTGAGTACTACGAATTCATGTGCATATTAAAACACATTCACTCTGAGATTGTTAGTTCACTAAGAGCCACTAGATATTGTCAAAAGGAAATATATGTATTTGTAACTTTCTTTCATTTTCAAGAGCAAAACATTAAGCCCCGTTTTATCTTGGAAGTACAGATGTCATGGACTTAATGATTGTAGTGGTGTCCCTGGTAACCTGTTTTAACAGTCAAGTGCCCCGGTTGACTACATTTCAGTGTTCATATATACTACATGCTATGTGTGGCTACTTTTGTAACTACAGGTAAAGATATACTCTTTTAGGCATTATTTAGTGATTAATGTGGTTGGTGTATGCCAGACCTGACAAGTCCTGTATTTAAAATACTTGATTATTTGAACCTTGAATATTATTAGAACCTAGTAGTACTTTGAAATTGCACATGAAGTGAAGTATCCATCAGCAGTCACCCAAAGATGAAGGTCATGACTTTCACAGAGCCCACAATTTGAGCTTTGATGAGGAATAATTTCAAAATAATTCATTTCTCCAGCCACCATCTTTCAGGATCAGGCCCAACTTCTTGAGATTATGTATCAGTTTTAACTTTATTATTATACTTCCTGTCAATGGACTTTTTATATACATTAACATTTTGGCATTCTTTGCTAGTTGTTTTTTTCCCTCCTATTTTGTCTGCATAGTTAAACTGTAAGTATAAATTCTTAATGCCTTTTTTCAAAAATGAACAACAATGTAAGAAGATAAAGTTTAATAACAAAAATTAAGTGTAAGATCCTAATACCTGGTATGAGTGAGAAAGTAGGTTTTTTCCCCTAAATATTTAACCACTTGACTCAGCATATTTTGCTGATAGACTTACTCTTCCCCTACCCATTGACTTAGTGTCTCTATTCTGTGCAAATTCGATATTTTGTTCAAAATTCTAAAATCAGAAAAGATTATGACAGCCCATTCCTCTCCTAAGTTTAACATGAAGACTCATTTCATAGCAAACCTGACCTGATTGGACATGAGACGGAGTCATTAAGTATGAATATTCCCATTTTGTTGTAAAAATAGTAATGTGCTCAGTTGGTGTGCTGCGTCAGATTCAGGTGAAGGTATGTGATACATACTTGGTATCAATTGTGGGGGTCCTAAATATTCTGAATTATGAAACCCAGCTAACTATAAAGATGGAAGACGAAACATTTTGGATTTACAATGTATTTATACATATATACATGGACTGTATATACTACAGTCAATGTGCAAATTATTTTGTGCCACTGATTAAATAATTACAGCTCTGTGTGTGTTAAAATTCAAGTATTCACTACCTTTTAATTTTAGAATCACTTGTTTCAAATTAGAATTCTTTTGTGAAACTCATTTGAACTATTAATACTGTAACTTACACTGAAAGAAACTAATGGTAATGATAATATGGTTTGTATCACTAGCTTTGTAGCTTTCCATCTCAAATTTCTCGCTAAACTGGATATTTTGTTTTTGCTATTTTTAGAAGACATTGTTCTATTGTTTTTTAGTGAAATTTTTGTGAAAGGATACATATAAAAAGTTTAGATTCAGGCCTCCCTGGTGGCCTAGGGAATAAGTCTCAACACTATCACCCCTGCAGCCTGAGTTCAATCCTCAGCCAGGGAGTTAACCCACATATGGCACAGCATATGTTTCAACCACTGTGCCCGCTGCTCCCTTTTGCAGTATATTTCAGTAGATCTGCCTATTCTGCCCCCATTCTGTCTCCAGTGAATCGTCTCAATACCCGTACTTCTGGCCGACCCTCCAGATCTTCTACAAAATATTTTTTAAAAGGTCAGACTACTGGGCCTCCCATGGTGGTGCAGTGGTGAGCACTGGGCTGCGAAGCTGCCGCAGCCTCTGCAGCGCCGGTTCAATTCCCAGCCCCCGGAGAGGGTCCCACATGGCGCAACAGACCTTTCCTACCGCCCGCTGCTCCCCTCAGCAGTGTATTTTCGTCAGTCTGCCTGCTCTGCCCTCCGCTCTGACTCTGGTGAATTCTCTTGCCCTCCTGCGCTTCTGACTGTACCCAGTGCTTGTATAAATAAATCTTAAAAAAAAAAAAGGTCAGACTATTGAGTACATCCAGTTAAATGAATTTTCTAAAAGTACTACATCCACTTAAAACTAGATGCCAGCAGGACCCTAGGATCTCATTGTATGTCATTCCAGTAACTTCTAGCCCCAAGAGCAATTAACAATTCTGACTTACAGCACCATAATTTCAGCTTTAAAAACTTTGTGTAATAGCCTTGTCTATTCATATGACTTCTTTTGCTCAACAATGCAAGATACACTCCTGTTGTGTGTGATTCAAGTGTCATCCTCCATGCTGTGTAGTTTCATGTTGTGTCTGCACACATTTTCTTATGCCATGGTTAATCTGTTGTATGGTTGGTGAACATTTCTTTCCAGACTGAGACTCTTATGAATAGGACTGTTGTGAATATTCTTCTGCATGTGTCCTAGTGACTGTATTAACACTTTGAGTTGGATATCTTCTTAGAAGTGGGCTTGCTGGATCCTAGAATTGTATGTATCCAATCTTACTCAGATTTTCCAGTTTTCCAGACTATACTGAGTCATGCTACTGTCTACAGTGTAAGGAGTGTTCTAGTTCTCTCTTGACAGTAGGTGGTATTTTCATTCTAGTCATTTTATTTTTTTTTTAACTTTTTTTTTTTTAAAGATTTATTTATTTATATATACAAGCACTGGTACAGTCAGAAGCGCAGGAGGGTGAAAGAGTTCACCAGAGCCAGAGTGGGAACAGAACAGGCAGACTGACGAAATACACTGCTGAGGGTAGAGGCGGGCGGCAGGAGAGGTCTGCGCACCATGTGGGACCCTCACCGGTGACCGAGTATCGAACCGGTGCTGCAGAGGCTGCAGGCAGTTTTTGCAGCCCAGCGCTTAACTGCTGCGCCACCAGGGGAGGCCCTCTAGTCATTTTAGTGGCATATATGGTATCCCATTATACCTTTAAGGTATAATGCCATTTCAAGTGTTTATTAGCCATTTGGAGATCTTTGTGGAGAATATCTCATGTCTTTTGCCAGTTTTCTATTTCAGTTGTCTTGTTCTTACATTTATGTATATATTTTTCCTGTATTCTATGCATAAATCTTTCTCAGATGAACATGTCTGAATATTTTACCGTATTTTCTTCCAAAAGCTCATTGCTCGGACTTGGGTTTGATCAGTCTTCATCTGTAATCAATTTTCCATAGGTATCCAATTTAGCCAAAACATTTATTGAGAAAGACTGTCCTTCCCAAACACAATGCAGGCTATCTTTGTCATAAGCTGGTGAACTATGAAGTTTTGCTTCTGGACCCCAATCTATTCCATTGGTCTACTTCTTACAATAATACATCTTAATTACTATAGGAAATCTGCCCTGTTTTATATCTGGACCACTTATAAGCGATCTCTACAAAG